CCGACCCCCCCCCCCCCCCCCCCACCCGGACTAGCGTCTTGCTCTACGGGACCACTTTCAGCCAAGTTATCAAAGCCACCCTGACAACCAGGCTGAGACGCTGTGTGTGACTATTCGATTGTGCTCGGGTGCTAAACAGACGAAATCTGGTGCGCTCTTGTCGGAATAGAGCTGTTTCCAGGTCGTCCGCTATTCCACCTTGGGCCGCCATGATCACTAGTTCAATTTAATACTCTCACTATCACTCTATGTGTGAATAGGGCCAGGGATAAGGTTTCTTTCAATAGAGTTGCGTTGCGATACTTTCAGTCTTCGACGAGATCGCTTGCACGCGGCTGTACTATTGTACTAAAAACAACAATACTCGAGATTTGGTCACTGAACAACAACTTCATCGTACAGTGCCAAACCAGTTAGATACGTGTGACGAAAAGTCCGTGGAAGCTGGATCCATATACTTACCTCATAATAGATGCTAAATAACAAACCTACTACTAGGGACACATAATTTATTTCTATATTTATAAATACTTTTTACACTTACATATATATACATAATTGTTCACTATTCAAAGGGCTTATATCACGGATAGCTTATGTATGTCTATTTTTCGAGGACATCGTAAAATGACTGCAAACGCCACAAGAAAAATGCCTCCATCCGTATCTGAATACGTTCCATCAGACTACATCTTGGGCAACATCGCCATAAGTGTGAGTCTGAAAATAGACGTACAGTATGAACCTTAGCTCAATAATTTATAGGGGTACGGAATATAAGTTCCAACTTTAATGTTAACTTTTTAATTTTTTAAAGTTATAACTTCTATTTAGGACAAATCAACTACAAAGTTATTTTGGAAACTGCACTCAATAAGCTGTTCGATCGTTGAAAATTTTAAGCCAAGAAATTGATAGTAGGCAATCAATAGAGATTGAACGTTTCAGTTGTGACGACTGTCACCTGAGTGATCTGGAAAATGCACTTATCATATATAGAAGTGTACTATCGAGATATAAAGTTACAACTTTAATGTTTATTCGAGGCTTAATAAAAGTTACAAATTTTAACGCATTGAGCTTAGGTATAAACTTTGGGGTTTTTTTAAACGTAAAATTTATTCTGAATTTGACACGGCATTGTTTATTTACTACTCTCTTTCTACTACAATGCGATTTGTAGTACGTATCTATATACTATTTAGAAGGCGCTATGGATGTGGTTATCCGTTCGTGTTTCGTGATCGTACAATTTTACGAGCACACATACACCTGACTATTGACGAGCTTTCAGACACTTTGAGGCGTAAAAAACACCCATTTCCATGATGTATATAAATTGCCACTTTTATCAACGTTATGATAATATGCAAATAACATCTGCAAAGATTAGTTTTAATCAGAGTATCAAATTCTAGACAACATACCTAGTATTCCGATGTAGTATAGAGAAGTCATAGTCCGTTTTCGTGACACTGTCGTGGTATACACAGTCTACCTCTCCATCTCTTCGTTCTAATGTTCGTCGTATTGTGCGATCACTCACATGTACGCCAATAGTAGATGGAAAGTTAGCATGCGAAAGACCCACTAACAAATATTTAGCAATCAGCATGAAAAAACGAATACGCTGCAAAAGGTTCAAGAGAATCTAAAAAGCATGGCCACCTGTGAAGAATTCGATTCAAATGCAAACACACTTCGTTGTGCAAAATAAACAAGTGCTGATACTGCGTCGCTGACTGCTGGCACCCGAAATTTTAAAACATATTCTCAACTTTTTTTTTAGTACCCGCTACTACATACATATTTATATAGAGTGTCTCCATATGTACAGTCAGTTATGAAAAAACGTTCACCTTGTAGATTTCTAAATCATACGAAAATCTACTGACTGCTAAAATAATAAAATAAGTATGCCAGATAAAGCGAGGCAGGGCTCCGTATTTATTAATTAACGTATATGCTCCATGAGGTATCCACACAGCCCCCAATAGGTGGTGCGCGTAGATTAGATGCAAAAGCAGATAGTACTGAGCTCCCCCGTTTCTGCAGCAAACCTTTTGAACTTATCCTCTGTCCAGGGAGTGGCCGCTGCGTGGGGTTTAGTCATCCCTCTTCGAGCGGATGCCCTCTGCTTTCTCCTGGAGAGAGGGTCGAAACCACATGAAGTAGTTTAGTATAGGAAAGTATAAAATGTGTAAATACAATGCGTCACAGACCTCTTCAAAGAAAGGAGATACACTACTTGCATGTAACTCCCACACCTACTCTGCTCGAATGAAAGGGGTTTCTGGAACGAAAGTCTACTACTGTTTATATAAGCTAAACAACCGAGATGTGTGGTGCGTGATATTGACCAAACACATTGATATCAGGACACGAGCATCAGTCACAACCATGTCCTCAATATACGTGTTATCACGCAAGCAGACGCATCGCACGTTTCTACTTATCATAGTATAAGAAAGGGTTTTAGGGTTCAGAGTTTTGTTACTATGAAAGTCGCTGCCTGTCCTTGCTGGTACTTTCCACTACCACCTCCACAATGCTGCTACCCACACGTGCTTATGACAACGTATGAAACGTATCTTCATCATCCTTTGACACAGCAGGCCACTGAGCAGGGGGTCGGCATGTGCGTGTAGTCATATATACGCATCACCGAACACGTGTATTTATACATACTTATCACCACACCCACTAAACTCCTCATAACACAGTACCCACAAACTGCACACTTTACCTGCAGGGCCTGGTTCTCATCCAATGTGCGTTCGTACTGCTCTGCCTGTTGTTTGGCCTGCTTCTTGAGTGTCTCCAGATCACGCTCGAGTTTCTCTTTCTCTACAGATCGCATGGTAACAAAGCAATTAGCACGGACATGACTTCTAAAACAAAAAATTTACTACCGAGAAGTTGGGCACAGGACTTGCGCATACCCGCAGACAGTGATAGATGGATATTCATACCAGATATAACCCGAGAATATAGAATATAAACGACTTAGAACTATGGAGTACTATTCTCTCACTTTAAAAATCGGTAAAACTTATCAAGGAAAGACCATGTGACAATATAGTATAAATATTGAGATATGCCAAAAGTGTACTATACCAACGATCACAAAACGACATGTGATGGTGTATATACATTAACAGTAATAGTAGTATACAATGACAATGGCGACACAAACGATCACAAAACGACGATTTATAAGTGTTTATACTTTGCTTAGCGCGCACATAGCGAATACATACGTGCTTCTGTGTGCATCATTCATATCGCACGAGTTCATTGTCGTTAGTTAAAAGACTATATCCGATCATGCGCACACAGTATGGGTGTACAAATAATACCGCTGATTGGTAGTCGAGATCGCTATATGTCTAGACCTATGTGGCGGCATCAGTACACTTCAACAATCTAATTGGGACTATGTACCGCTACATTAGTAGCCTCAGAAGAACAACCTGAGTTCAAACTTCCACTGCACACAGCATTTAGCTAGTACTGTCATCTGACTTCATCGGAACTTGGCTTAGAACAGATAGTTTCACAATAAATACCACAATGCTATACACACAC